GCCGTATTTTTATAGGGTCGGATAAGTGAGGCATTTTGGTGGGGAATGGCTAATTGAGGCAGGAATGACCCGAGCTGTTCGGCCTGTTAGCGTGATATAAGCAACATGCTTTTATTCCTGGCCCATTTGTTTGGCACGACTCATGTTTGTGCTCGATGGAGTTATAGGGTATAAGTGCGTAGTGGGTGTGGATAGTTGGAGTGAAAATGGTCCATGTTGCACACATAAACCCTTGTGTGTATACCTTCTATTGTGCTATGGCTGTCACTGTTGGAATCGCCGAATTTGCCGAGAGGAACTCGGCAAAGCCTAGAAACAACTTATTCACGTCCTTATTCTTAGGGCCCCCCCTTTTTTTTTACATAGTAAGCTTAATTGTTCCCTTCCATATGTGCATCGCTAATAACTAACCCATGCCGCGATATAATTTGAAGATGAATGGAAACACAACTAAATTCTAAACAGTTTTCCTATAAAAAAGTTATAAGAAGTTAACATCTAGCTAGATTTGCTTTCAAAGATATCATTCCAAAATATATGATTACCACATGCATCTTGGCATGTTACCGTTCTAAATTTAGTTTTTTTTTTTACTTTGTATAAGATCAAAACTATGCTTCAATCTGACGGGAATCACCTCTTGTTCTGAATTTTAGAATGAATTCAAAGACATTAGTTGAAGTATAACATCCAAATACTACTCTAAAAAAAGGTACATGACGTCAACAATTACCATATTAGGTGTTCACAAGCTTAAGAAAATTATATTAAAATTACCACTCGTGAACCACCAAGTTATTGTGTGTGTTTCGATAAATTATGAACATAGTCTAGATTTTTTTACACCTTTACCTCTTACATTGTAGGTTAAATGTATTGCGTTTTTCCATGTAAACCCAAACAGAACGCATTAGGGGGCACCTTATCCTATGTTGTTCCAAGAAAGTTCACTGCAACCGCTCTCTCCCACAACCCAGTTCCAGGCACTAGTTTCAGTGACGAGTGTGGTGAGTTGGGCCATTTTCGAATGGAAGTGATTGTGGATTTATGGAGGCATTGACCCAAGTTAGGTCTAGCTAGTTTCATGTGGACACAATATTTAAAGGCTAGAAGAAGACGAGGACAAAGAAGGTGAACATAAACCATATGACTATAATGAGTTCATTTATAGTGTTGGTTGAAGGGAAAATGCATTATGCTACCCTTTCTATGAAAATGGGTGGTTATGGCAACGGTTGATCTTTGGGGGAAAATAGGGCCAAAAAAGGAGGGGAGAAACCAGCAGATGTGTTGGCAGGGAAGAATTACTACATAATTAATCATGGATTAATCTTAATATTGAAGCACAAGACCAGTGATAGAAATAAAGGATGTGTGTGTTGGATACAATGTTCTCGATGCGTAATCTTCGACATGCACAATGATGGTAGTAATGTTTCAAAAGAAAAGAATAAGGTAGCATGATTATTAAACATCTTACTTTTATTCCTCTGTACTCGCTAAATTGCTGCACTTGCCAGATCGATTCTTAAGATATATGTCCGCATAGAAATAAAAGGCAAGAATGATCACCCAACATCCCTCATAGTCTTTTCCACCTAATGGTCATGTGCATTTAGACAATGATTTTCATATATGTAAAATATGCACATTTAGTGCTTCTAGGAAATGAACTTATATCTACTTGGGAGGTTTTGCTGCAACTAGAGCAGTCTCAAGCTTATAGTGTGTCCAAATAGAAATTAGAAAATCTATGGAGAGGATGTCATCCTAGTATATTGAACACGCAAACACCATGCTACTATTTGATTGGAGGTTGTGTAAACTTGATGGAGCGAGGCAGCAGTAGAAGGACATAACGAAGCAAGATGAGGAGGAATACTCAGATGAGAACTAGCTAGGATGCATGAAGAAGTAACAGTTAAGATTAACAAGGTGATATAATTGCACGAGTTCGGGTTCTCCCCCTTTACCGAACAACCGTTTCGACGTTAGGGGATACTACGCTTTCTGATACGACGCATGTGTATCCTATGCAGATCTGATCCTGCCATTTAATTTACTGAGCAGTTTCGAGAATGTAATATTGTAGTATGTTTCTAATCAGCAGATATACACTACTAACTCCGTATCAAACTAGCCTACAAAAACGTCTTGTATCTTGATACGGAGATAATATCAAATAAGACCGACAAATTATAGAGTGGTAAAATATGACCCTCCTGCAGGAAGATATACCCCCTGCAGAGATATGCACCATCACAACAAGATGGCACATGTTCCCCTTTCCCCTCATGTTCATAATGTGAAATTTAGTTGTTTTTGGCCTCAATCATACGACTACTAATAGTATTCTTGCACCTGTATAAGCCTGGCAAGCCGTCATCCCTGACCAAAACCGCAGAAGCTAGATCGAGAGCATGGGTTTACTTACACGAGCTTGGATGGTGTACATGCACTGGGAATGGTCAGACGAGATCCCCGTCGTGACCACGTCGATACCATGCTTCTCCAGCACGGCCGTCACCATGGTGAGAACGCCTGGACGCCGCCCCACGGACATGTGGATGTACGCGTTGTTGCCGGACAGGCTCAGGACGACGTTCGGCCCTGACCACGTCTGGAGCGGCACCGGTGCCGGCGCCGCGGTCACCGCGCCCACCAAAGACATGGATGGCGCTGGCGCGGCCCCAGTGTGCCAGATCCCGCCAGCCGACGCCCCTGTCACCGGCGTCGCCATGGCCATAGGCATGGCCGCTGCCACTGAAGAGGAGACCCCGCCATTGGCTGCGTCGGCGGGATTGCCTCGTGCGAAATCCCTCTCTAGCTTTTGCTTCTCCAGCTCGCTCACCGTGCCCTCCAGGCTCTTGATGTAGTGTATGGCTTCCATCACTATGCTCGACTTGTCAACCTGAAACACCAAAGCACTAAGCGAGTGACGATCTGACAACCGACCTCAGCCCTATCTGCGTCCACAAAGCCCTAATATGCGAGTCTAGCTAGCAATCAGCTTAGGCCATCACCTTGTCGGGGAGGGTGGGGAGGAGGCCATGCAGCTTGGTGAACATCTCGCTCATCCGCCTCCGCCTTTCGCGCTCCGTGATAATGTGCAGTTCTCTGTCGCCGCGGCGGCCGCCTGATCTGCGAGCAGCTACGACCGGCGCTGTCATGATCTTACCCTTAGATCTACAACCCTCTTCTTCTTCTTCAACCTTGGGGACGCCCTTCCCCTTGTCAATAGCGCCGCCGAGGACCAGACGGCTGCTGGCCTTCGATCCCTTGTTGTCCTTGCCGGAGCTCATGGAGTCGGAGCTGGTCGCCGGTGGAGCGTTGTTGTCGTTGTCTTTCGCCATGGCACAAAACTTAAACACAAAGTAAGGTGTATGGAATTTGGATGTGGAGAGAAGGCGTTTTCTGCTCGCTTCAAGGAAGGATGCGCAAAGCTTTTGCGTCTTCTGAAAATATATCACGGGGTTTCGTATTTGTCAGGATGTACAAAATTAATTGCCATGATATTGTGCTAAAATTCTCTTTCTATCTCTAGCTATCTCCAAACCGTTGCTGCCAAAAATGTGTAATGTCTCGTAGCTAGCTGGCTCATTCTAACACTACTGGCACATCCATTGAATTTACAGCCTGCTCATTTATTCCAGTAAAATTGAAAGGAAAGCGAACAAACTTTTCTGCAAGACGATCTTCATTCTGATTGGTCAGTCAATTGATCTGATCAACACAATTATGAACCATTTAGTACTACTCCGTAAATCCATATACTAATATAGCATTTTAGTAAAAATATCGTAATATTACCAAGTAAGTATTCAACTAGTACTAATAATCGGCACAGGGCGGTTGCACAGTAACTCCATTTTCGGGGAAAGTAGAAATAATGGAACCAGACATTTCTTATGCCCACGTTTTGAACAACATACGCAACTGCAAGAACACAAATTCTGTTCAGTACTAACACAAAGCAGCATGTTAAGCATGTATGGCATCCAACTATTTGATCACCTTTTTGTAGGCATCTCACCAAACACTTGACGTATTTCACCGGACAATCCAAAAGGCTATGCCATTTCCATTTGACCTGGAGTATAATTGATAGAAAGCTAGCTTGTACGTACATAGCACAAGATAGCAAGGATTACATGAAGCGTTGAGGCAAAAACACGAAAGCTTATCACCAAATTTGTGGAGTTAGCCAAATAGCTAGCCAGCCAGACAAGTGTGCATCCGCCGTATAAAAGGCTGCTTTTGAACGAAAGCATAGCTAGCTAGCTGTTGTTGGCCTTGTTGGATGGAGAATGCAGTAACACAAGCTGTGCTTTGTCCTAGTCTTTTGATTCATCGTTAAATCAATGGACGGTAGATAGATGGTTTCTATAAAGTCATATTGGACCAACACGATACCTATGTCAAAGGAGGTGGTGGATGGATCGTGGAGATTATGCCGCCATCCATGTTGGGTAAAAACCTCCCTCGCCATTTGCAATAGGCACCGTCTTAAACAATGATTGATACTCCGTTCGATATAGCATAGACCATATACGAATCAAGTGCGTATAACGAAATAAGCCGCAACACCATTTAAGGGAAGATAATGAAGCTATACAAGGACATATGAAGTGTGGAGATCAAATCAAATCTACTAGAGGCCACAGAAGCAACAAAGGGGAAGACAACGTCAGCCATGGCACACTTTCACTGCTGGGAAAATCTTATTGGTGGGTGTGGTCTGGGTCCCACCACTGCTATTTTGGCCAAGTACTAGTGATGGGTAAAAATTATAGCCCGCCATAAATGTAGTGGTACCAGTGATGGGATGATTTGGCCACCTACCACTTGTAATTTTCTATAGAATTAGCCGCATGATAAAGACAATAGTATCAGTGGAGGGAAGGTAAATGATATGTCCATTTTGCATCATGTTTTCTTACTGTTATTTATAATGTTCTTATCCATAATAATGCTTTTTTGGAGTAATTCTAATTCCTTTTCGCTCATATTTGCAAGGTACACACCAAGAGGGAGAATTCTGGCAGCTGGAAATCTGGACCTGGAAAAGCTATGTCAGGCTACCTATTCTGCACAACTCCAAACAAGCTGAACCTTCACGAAGAATTCTTATGGAATATTAAAAAAATATTGAAGCAAATAACTGCCAGAGGGGCCCCACCAGGTGGGCACAACCCACCTGGGCGCACCAGGGAGCCCAGGCGCGCCTTGGTGGGTTGTGCCCTCCTCGGCCCATCTCCGGTGCCCATCTTCTGGTATATAAGTCATTTTGACCTAGAAAAATAAAGGGGGGGGGGGACTTTCGGGACGAAGCGCCGCCGTCTCGAGGCAGAACTTGGGCAGGAGCACTTTTGCTCTCCGGCGGAGTGATTCTGCCGGGGGAAATTCCCTCCCGGAGGGGGAAATCATCGTCATCATCATCACCAACAACTCTTCCATCTTGGGGAGGGCTATCCTCATCAACATCTTCACAGCACCAACACCTCTCAAACCCTAGTTCATCTCTTGCGTTCAATCTTTGTATCAAAACTATAGATTGGTGCCCATGGGTGACTAGTAGTGTTGATTACATCTAGTAGTTGATTACTATATGGTTTATTTGGTGGAAGATTATATGTTCAGATCCATTATGCTATTTAATACCCCTCTGATCTTGAGCACGTTTATCATTTGTGAGTAGTTACTTTCGTTCTTGAGGTCACGGGAGAAATCATGTTGCAATTAATCATGTGAACTTGATATGTGTTCGATATATTGATGGTATGTATGTTGCCATTCTCTTAGTGGTGTCATGTGAACGTCAACTACATGACACTTCACCATATTTGGGACTAAAATAATGCATTGTGGAGTAGTTCAGATGGTGGGTTGCGAGAGTGACAGAAGCTTAAACCCCAATTTATGCGCTATTCCGTAAGGGGCCGATTGGATCCAAAAGTTTAATGCCATGGTTAGAATTTATTCTTAATACTTTTCTCTTAGTTGCTGATGCTTGCGAGAGGGTTAATCATAAGTAGGAGGTTTGTTCAAGTAAGAACAACACCTAAGCACCGGTCCACCCACACATCAAATTATCAAAGTACCGAACACGAATTAAGCCAACATGATGAAAGTGGCCGGATGAAATTCCCGTGTACCCTCAAGAACACTTTGCTTATTATAAGAAACCATTTTGGCCCCTCCTTTGTCCCAAAAGGATTGGGCTACCTTTCTGCACTTTTGTTACTACTATTGTTACTTGCTCGTTATAAATTATCTTGCTACCAAACTACTCCGCTACTTACAATTTTAGCACTTGCAGACATTACCTTGCTGAAAACCACTTCTCATTTCCTTCTGCTCCTCATTGGGTTCGACACTCTTACTTATCGAAAAGAGCTACAATTAACCCCATACACTTGTGGGTCATCAAGGCTATTTTCTGGCGCCGTTGCCGGGGAGTGAAGAGCCTTTGGTAAGTGGAATTAGGTAAGGAAACATTTATATAGTGTGCTGAAATTTATTGTCACTTGTTACTATGGGAAACAATCCTTTGATGGGTTTTTTCGGGGTATCTTCACCTCGTCCGGAACCACAATTAGTTACTCCTCAACCTACTGCACCTACTGAAAATATTGAATATGAAATCCATTTGGGTATGATAGAACAACTGCTAGCTAGTCCTTATGTAGGAGATGGAACTGAACATCGTGATATGCACTTGATACATGTGGAACAAATTTGTGGATTGTTTAAGCTTGCAGGTTTACCCAGGGATGAAGTGATGAAAAATGTTTTCCTTTATCTTTGAAGGGAAAAGCATTGGCATGGTATAGGCTATGCGATGATATTGGATCATGAAATTGGAATCATTTGAAATTGGAGTTCCATCAAAAAATTTATCCTATGCATCTAGTTCATCGTGATCGGAATTATATATATAATTTTTGGCCTCGTGAAGGAGAAAGTGTCACTCTATCTTGGGGGACGCTTAAGTCGATGTTATAATCATGCCCCTACCATGAGCTCTCAAGAGAAATTATTATTCAGAATTTTTATGCTTGGCTTTCTCGTAATGATCAAACCATGCTCGATACTTCTTTTACTTGTTCTTTTATGAAGAAGACTATTGAATCCCGGTGGGATCTTTTGGAAAGAATTAAACGCAACTCTGAAGATTGGGAACTTGATGAAGGTAAAGAGTCACGTATAAATCTTAAGTATGATTGTGTTAAATCTTTTATGGATACCGATGCTTTTCAAAAGTTTAGCACTAAATATGGACTTGACTCTGATATAGTATCCTCCTTTTGTGAATCATTTGCTACTCATGTTGAACTTCCTAAAGAGAAGTGGGTTAAATATCACCCACCTATTAAAGATGAAATTAAAGAACCAGTACCAGTTAAAGAAGAAACTATACTTTATAATGTTGATCCAGTTGTCCCTTCTGCTTATATTGAGAAACCACCTTTCCCTGTTAGGATAAAAAAACATGCTAAAGTTTCAACTGTAGTTAACAAAAGCTATGTTAGAACACCTAAACCTGATGAACGAATTAAAGTAGAACCTAGCATTGCTATGGTTAAAGATCTCTTGGAAGAAGATATGGATGGGCATGTTATTTACTTCTGTGAAGAACCTGCTAGAATTGCTAAAACTAAGGGGAAAGATAAACATAGACCAGTTGTTGGGATGCATGTTGTCTCAGTTAGGATAGGAAATCACTGTTATCATGGGTTATGTGACGTAGGTGCTAGTGTGAGTGATATTCCCCACTCCTTATACAAAGAAATTAGAGATGAAATAGCACCTACTGAAATAGAAGACATAGATGCTACTATTAAACTTACTAATAGATATACTATATCACCAATTGGGATTCTTAGAGTTGTTGAAGTCTTGTGTGGGAAGATAAAATACCCTACCGATTTTCTTGTTCTTACCACCCCACAAGATAAATTTTGTCCCATTATATTTGGTAGACCTTTCTTGAACACCGTTAATGCTAAAATAGATTGTAAGAAACAAACTGTCAGTGTTAGCTTTGGTGATGAATCTCATGAGTTTAATTTTTCCAACTTTAGTAAACAACCTCATAAGAAAGATTTGCCTAGTAAGGATGAAATTATTGGTCTCGCTTCTATTGCTATGCCCCCTACTTATCCTTTAGAACAATATTTGCTAGACCATGAAAATGATTTGCATATGCATGAAATAAATGAAATAGATAGAATCTTTTTTGAACAACAACCTCTGCTTAAACACAATTTGCCTATTGAAACTCTAGGAGGTCCTCCTCCACCTAAAGGCGATCCTGTGTTTGAATTAAAACAATTGCCAGACACCTTGAAAT